ATTCTTGATACCTCTTTTATTTCATGATCTATAAACATATACACAAAGCACTCACACACTTGATCCTTAAAATTCACAAATACGCTTTTTGAGAATTGACAGCCCTTCTTCAACAAAATTTTTAACATCCAATAAACATTCCTGTACAAGATATTTTTCTCTCTATATTGATCGAGAGATTGACATGGACAAGCCCTGACATCCTCATGTGCACCCTCGAATACTAACCATATTTTCGAATATCTATTACTAAAGATACAAGTATAGTAAGTTTAGTAACTAGAGAAAATTATAGAATGTAATCATGTGTTCGCTCCTTGGTTTCGAGTCTTTCGACGTTGCTGACAGGTTTGCAATTGGTCATGGAGAGTCGCCGGTTGTGCCGTAGGGTGAGGTCAAGCAGTGATACCTAGGACTAGCTGACAGGTACTCCTATAGTCACGGGTCAAAACTGGTATTTTAAAATCATTTTTTTCCATTTTCAAAAGACAAGAGTTTTGGATTGTGATATCCCGTGTCTTCCTCTAATAAATATATTCTAACAATTATAGAATGAAAACATGTGACTAATTATTATGTAACAAAAGAAAGCAAAAAGCCTATAGTACTCTCAAACAATAGTCAGTAATACACAAGGAGTGAACGTCCTTTTTAGTAGCATGCCTTATATAATTAGCAAGCTCCCATAAATACACCTTCATGGTAACTTGTTGTAGGTAACTAACAAAATTAGCACCTTGCTGCAAAGAGCAAAAATACCAATTTCATGTATATGGTAGCTCAATTATTAACAAACATTTTTTCTTCTTTTAAGAGATGTATAAGCTTTTAGAAAAAAATTTGGGTCAGAAGATCATGTGAGCTCTTGTATAAATTTAGGACTCATCTAGTGTGATGATGGCATTTGTATCACTTCTAATACTAACAAAGGCAAACAACTTTTATTTTGATCATAATACATGCATTTGACTTCTTCCTAAAAATCCCAGTATATCATTGCATACAAGGTAGACAATAAATTGTAATCAAGCCAAAATTAGATGCATAGCAAAAATAAGAGATTTTATTTGGTACCACTAAATAGTGTTGGTTTTGAAGAACAAGTCTAATTAGCGTAATGGTAGATCTAGAAAAAAATTATTAGGGTCAAACTAGTATCTCTTTACCAAAGATTTAAACATAATATTACAAAACAACAATTTTGCCAAATGGACTAAATTTGCCTACTCAAACTGGATAAAATTAAAATTGGGTGCAAATATTTTTAAATTATGAGGGAAAATTTATAAATTTAGAAGGTTTGAAATGTAATTTCCATAATATCAGGAGTGCAGCTTCCCTGTGAAGAAATGTGAGCATTATTGAAATTACTGATGACTTCATCATGTTTTTCTATGTTTTAAAAAGCAGGTGCCAAGCCGGGCTAAGCATACCTAGGGTGTTCAACTAGATCTTGGAAGCACCAAGGGGAACATAGGTCGCTTATATAGACTACACTACTTAGATCTTTGTCGTCATTTCTTATGATGCAGCCTCCACATCCTAACCTCCTTCAGGCTCCTGTCGTCTCCTCAACTATCTATATACAACTTATTTGCCTCCTCTGACCTTCAGAAAAGATCCTCCATCACCAATTAGACAAAAAAATCTGCCTAAGCACTAGAAGCTAGTTTAACGCTCAATAGTGCCTAGCGTTTTCTATAATATTGGCAGTTGCTATCAATTATTGTAACTAAATAATAATAAATATAGGAAAACCGCCTAGGTTTCCACCCAGACTCTTGGTTCTAGGCGTCAAGTCAAGCACTTGGGCCACCAAGCACTTTCTATAACTTTAATTTCTTTCTAGTTGAAATCATACCTTCAATAAAGAATAAAACCTTGACAGTTCAGAGGTTAAAGGTTTTGTTGTTGAACTACTTTATGACCAAATATTTCATGAAATTGTGATTAGCTTCTAACTTTTGATGTTTTGTTGTTGAACTACTTTATGCTTAGGACCATTTTTGATAAAATTTCACAGATAGGTTGTTTTGTGATTAACTTCTTAGTTTTTTATGTTTTGCTATTGAAACTACTTCAAACTAAGGACCATATTTGATGAAAATTTCATGTTAGATAGTTCTATTACTAACTAGTTCCATTAGTAACTTCTTATCTATTTTTAGATTGAACTTTTCATCGGCATACAATCTACATCGTAGTCTATAATTGGCACATGCTACATGATTATAGATCTGCTTGCAAAAGCATGAGGAAGTTATTGTATTAATTTTTAGTAAATTACTAAATTTATTTAAGAGTATTATTATGAAACCCTTTTCAGATTTGATAATTTATTATGAAATATCCTAACATTATTTTTTTCATTACAACATCCATTGTTGTAAAAAGAAATTGTTAAAACCTATTTAATTTCTATACTTTTTTCAAATACCCCTCAATAAAGCTTCTCTTTTTCCTCAAACTATTGGAAAACCTATCTCCCCATTGTTGACGTCAAATCCAAGTGACCTCAACCATTATCAAAGATAAAATTAATTGAAGATCAAGATAATCTCTTCAACCCATTGATTTAGCCTCTATCTAGTGTAACTTTTAGTTTCTAATCCATGTCTTGCCTTTGGAAGAAAAGAAAGGCAAGAAAGGAAAGTATGTTAAGAGGAAGAAGAAGAAGAGGGTAGTTTTGCAATATAAGTCAAATTTAACAGTTTTTTTAACAACGGTGTTTGCAATGAAAAAAATAGCATAAGAGGGTTTCATAATAAACTGTTAAACTTGAAGGGGGTTTCATAATAATTATCCTTTGTTTAATTATTTCATAAATTACTACATTATTTTAATTAACTTAATTAAAAAGTTTTCTCCTTTGTAACTCGCCATCACCATCTTTCCTATCCTCTTGGATACTGGTCAACATTGGATTTACAGTAGACCTTCAAAGCATGATAAAGATTGATAAATAAGTCACATAAAGTATGAGAACTACATGAATGGGAAGGAATTTGGTGCAATATACATAGATAAAGGGGAAAATTATTACACATTCTATAAGATGGTTTTCTCAATCATAATTCTGCAAATTAATCACTTCTCAAGCATGGAATTATGTTGGCCAATTAGTGAATATACTAAAAAGTTCAACATTTTTGATGTTTCATATGAAAATATGTATGAAACCAAAGTTCTCAGAAGTATATATGACCAAGTGTGGTCTAAGTCTAGAGAATTAACCGACCTCCTCGAGTTTTTATGCACAAAGAAGAGGAATGGAGGTAAAACCAAAAGGCGGAATAGCTTGGTTATGTCCTACAATGTCTTATGCAAGAGTAAAGGTAGGAAAAATAGAAGGAAGAGGATGAGGAGAATATTAAACAAAAGCTAAGGTCGAGTGGGGTGATGAGGGAGTGATGAGGATAATTCATGCCAAGGGGTGTCTTTTGAGAGATTCTTATCCGAAATTTGGCTGTATAATTTTATTGTAGGGTCTTATTATAGGACCTTTCATTTATTTCTCCCTTCGTCTGGCTGCTCATTGGAACACATAGTTTGCACCAGGTCTAACGACTTTATTTGCAATATAGGAAAATTAGCACTACTACAACTAGCTCGAGGACACTGAGTCAACTAACTTGACATGGTACTTAGGATGTTAGATGAGAATTAGTCCCTTCAAACTATTTAAGCAAGAAGTCATACAAGTTGTAATGGGGTGCAAAAGGAAATCTTCCCTCTCAATGACAAAAGATAGTGAAAGACTATCGCTATCTACATGAGAACAATGCATTGCATCATTGATTATCTCCATGTGGTAGTCCTACATACATTGTTTTAAATATCCCCGACATGGCCCGATATATCACTCGATATATCATTTTATAGGGCTTGCTGCTAACCGATATGGTCTCTAAATATCCTTTACCACTTATTTAATATTTTGGGTGATATATCTCCGATGTTTCTGATATATCAGCTAATATCTTGGTCAATATTTCCTCTTATATGGCTTGTCGCAAAACAATATAGCACGTTTGGCAATTTTTGGATGAGATATCATGGTTTTTCCATTATATCGAATGACATTTTGGCCTAAAAAATCAGAAGAAATGCTGCAAAGGTTATTTGTATTTTTGTTTGTTTTACAAGATCGATTAATTATCCTAAACATATACTATTTACATTTTATATGCTTAGATTTCCGTAAGTATATTAAGATGACATTTTAGTGCATTATACTATATATGCAAAAATCCGTTATGGCATTCCGATATTTACCCCATATCCTCGATATATCCCGATACTCACAATCCAATATGAATTTTGGTCATCCGATATTCCCCCAATATCTGATATTTAAAACCTTGCCTACATAAAGCCCAATTACAACTGAACAAGGGAAAACCTTACAGATGCCAACCAAAACTTGAAACCTCCATTTACAAAAGTCTATTGATGAGCAAGGAAAATAAGTTAAAATGCCCTTATTAATTTCCCATGTGAACGACTATCCATCATTCACCCAAATCATATGCACAATGACATAACTGAGAACGCTAATGAACATGATAGGCTACCCATTCTATCCCCACATCTTCAAAAAACTAGACTAATAGTAGGGTGGCAGACTTTCTCCGTGGAGATTTCATTTCATTAACGTATGAACCAAAACCTAATCCTGAAAATCCCCAACTTCTAATCTTCACCCAAGAAATTACTCTCTGCGGAGGGTTCCAAACCACAATACTGACTATATCTAATCCTCATGTACATAAACATCAATAGCAAGCCTTCCACCACCAATTACTCTAGAAAACTATCAGGACTACCATATATCAGATTCTTTAATGTGCATCATTTCCTAAAGTAACTTCAATGTTCCCAGAATCACAACTCACATAGAATATTTCTCAAGCCCACCTTAATAATTCCTCTGACTGACCACCAAAATTCCAAAGTAACAATAATATAAAGAAAGATCAAAAACTTTTCACAAAACTCACCGTCGACGGCGGCATCACATTCTCAAACAGCAAAGCATCAGGCCGATCAGCAAGAGCCCTCGACTTGGTCCACAAACAGCTCAGCCCACACCGGCACGAGTACAGGTTATCCAAATTATCAGGAATCCAAGTCCACCCTTTGACCAGCACGCTAACATGCCTCGTCCCAATCCCATCGCACTCTCCTCCTCCATCAAAATCCTGCACCGCCGACGAATTCGCCGTCCAATTCTTGTACTTGTCTCTGAACCTAGGGCATCCGATCTCGGCGTCCCAAGATTTGTAGGCGGCGATGAGATCGATGAAGGGGAAGTTAGGGTTGGGGTTAGGGCTCGGGGTTGGGAAAGGAGAGGAGGGCGTTGGGAACTCGAGGAACCGGGAGAGGAGGAGGACGGCGGCGGCGAAAGCGAGCATCGGAGCGAGGTAGTGGGAGGGTTTCGACGGGATCTTGATGAACATAGAGAGAGAGAGAGAGAGATTTTTGGCCGTCGGGTGATTTTGATCGAGTTAGAACTTTTGAAATTTTCACGTTTTGGCTTTTCTTCGTTGGGATCGGTGAAGGGAATTTGGGTGTGAAAAGGACGAGGGAACGACGGCGGGTCAACGAAGAAGGGGAAGAGTGTTGGACTGATGTTTGGCGTGAGCGGCCGGTGTGACTGTTTTTTGTTTGGGGGAGTTAAAATAGTTTATTTAATGCAATTAGATGAATGAATAAATAAAATATATTTTTTGAGTTAAGGTTCTAGGGGGTGCAATTAATTATCTTAATAAGTGCATGTGGTTTATAGATATTAGCCCCTTACATCTTCAATAACTGTATATTGGACCTTAGAAACCGCATATTAGTCTCTCAAATCCTATAGGGGTCTGCAAAGTAGTTCTTCTAGGTAACACACGTTAGATTTGAGGGGAAGATTCTGTTTAATCTGACGGTTGGAGGCAAAGTGACCATTTTACCCCTTTGCTATTTCCTCAAACTTATTTCTTAATAGGTTTAAACACAATACCCGCTTAAAAAACACGAAACCACTTGAGTTCTTTTCTAATGTTTAAAAAAGGCTGTAACCCAAAATTGAGCTTCACAGATGTTTAAAACATTAGATATTGGGTTAAAGTTATCCTAATCTTGATTAGTTTTTTTAATTGAAAAACTAACAGATGGACCAATTTTGCAAGACCCCATAGAATTTAAGAGACTAATATGCAATTTTTAAGATTTGAGGGAATGATATGCAATTATTGAAGATGTAAGGGATTAATATCTAGAAACCCCAATATCATATAGGTTGGTTATGGTTATGTCTGTATTTGAAATATATGAATATATATTTATCATATTGTTGTAATACTTTTAAATTTTTTTTATAAATGTTGCAATACTTTTAAACTGGTTAATAGAATCTACTCCTCTATACAAATGGAAGAGCCCAAGGTTTACTATTCATACTACAGTAATGCTACAGTAACATTTACTGTAGCAAACATGGCTAGACACTGTGCATTTTTTGAAAAAAATACTGTAGCACATGAGAACATTGCAGCAGAGGCGGGATACTATAGCAATTCAAAAGAGGCAAAAAAAATTACCGCAGTAATTAAAATCGGAATTATTGTAGCAGAGAAAAAAATATGTCGTGCTTTGCACAGTGTTTACACTAGTTTTTATAATACAAAAATCTAACCTTAACTTGTTTTTATAATACAAAAATCTAACCTTAACTTTTCTAAGATGTATAACATATTAATGAACTTCTTTTATCATATGACCTATGTATTTACAAATTTTATTGATTTTCTGCTTATCCATTTTATACGTGTTTATACTTTCTCTTATTTCATATGTATCCACATTCAAATTTTACGGATATGAATATGCGTTTTTCTTACTAAGATATATTTATTTTGTTTCCATATTTATGAGTAAGAAGCTAATACAAATATGGTAAGCATTATATCTTATACATATTCTAAACGTTTTGCACCCCTAGTTGAGGTTCCTAAGAATAAGAATTCAGCAAATATAAATTCGAGCATTGAAAAACATTTACAAATGTTGTTCTTCTTCTCTCTTTTTTTCATTTCTAAGAAAAAAAAAGCGGAGTGTATAGGCTAAGAATGTATATGAAAAAAAAAACTTTAGATGATATTTGTTGTACATATAAAATAGGAGAATAATATTAGAAAATAACTTAAAAATAATTAACAATACTGTAAAAATATAGACATTCCTTACATAAGATGTTGTTTCATAATATTTTAGTTTTTCTTAATGAAAAATGCTATGAGATTTCTGGTACACGAATCTTTCTTATTCATTGAAGCAGACTATAAAAAAAGAAAGAAAGAAGTAGAAGCAGCAGCAGCACGGACTACGAAATAAGAAACAAAGTGTTAAATCTATAATGATGGCCCTTTAAACAATAGGGAATGGAGATATCTATGAAATGTCAAATTATCCATTACCAAGCTAGATTTTATTTCCTTAAAAACAAGTTAAATCCACGTTGTGTATATATAGACTAAGTTAGAACAATTAACACAGATTTATCCACTTACTGCCAAGCTGTAGAGCTAGTACGCTCTTTCTCAGTGTATATATTGTAAAGGGAAGGAATTTTTATCTTGCCTCAAAAAGAAGATTTTTTTTTTTTTGACATTTGGAAAACTATAATTTTTCTCAAACTATTACTCAGAATAAATCAAATGCAAGAACAACAAAATCTGTAGGATTTATCATTTATATCACTTTAGATACGATTATGTCTTATGTTGGTTGTCAGTTATTAACGTAGTCTTCCTCCTTCTAGCATGCAACCTGAGATGTTGCGACTTTTCTTACATGCAACCAATGACAATTGTTTAATCAAAATTTTAAATGTGGCAACTTGTAGTTGCAATTGTTTGATTCTGCTTATAACTTGACATGTGCAACTTGTTTTTCACTTTTAATAAATTCTTAAAGTTATTAATTCTTTTTTACCTTTAAAATAATTATTTTTAAAAAATAATGGGTTTTTATTTTTAAGTAAATTGACTTTTAAAGTTTTCTAGAAAATAAACTAATACTTTTTGGTAAAACAATATTTTCTTAAATTAATTTTCTAATATAATATTTTTCTTAATTTTTGTTGGAAAAACATTACTGAATTTTTAAAAAAATATTTTAATAAAAAATATTATTATACAAGGAAATTTTTTTGAAAAAATAATAAAGTTTTGTAAAAAAATACTACTTTTTCAAAAAAAATAATTTATAAATTTATTTTTATTCAAAAAATAATATATCTTAAAAAAGTTTTTTTCCAAAAAAATAATATTTTTCAAAAATAATATTTGTTCAAAAAGTAAATTTTTTAAAGACCAATATCTCTTAAAAATAATATTCTTAAAAATATTATTTCTTTAATAATAATTTTAAAAATATATAAATATTATTTTTAAGTCATTAATACTTCTAAATAACTTTAATTTTGAGAATTTTTTTTTTACAGAAATTACAATACTCTTTTTAAGAAATTATTTTAAATAAGTAATGAATTTCTTAGATTTTTTGAAGAATTAAGTAATGATTTTTATTTTTATTTTAATTTTGGGTTAGTTCCAACTATGACTTGCAACCATTTTAGAAATAAATTTTAAGTTACAACTTGTTATGGTGTTCCCCTTCGCTAGAAGTACAAGCTCATCGCCAAGCAGTGGACTGTTAGACCCTAGAGGGGTGTGATTATGGTCTTATGCTAATATAATCCGATTTTATGCCAATTGAAACTAATTAACAAGTTATCCTAGCAAGTATAAAATACAACAAGATACATGAGCTAGGATAGGCAATATGAACTAATGAATATATTGTTGGCCTTCTTGTTTTGATGATGTTTAACAAACAATTTACTTATAATGTTGTTTGTCTAGTGTTTATGTTTTTGTATTTATTCTAGGCAAACAACGAGTTGGATGTTGGATGGATTGCGCTTCAACGATAATATCCAATGGAGGTTGGCGGAATAGTGGAGTGAAGCATTGCTATCAAGTTAAAGATCCAATTACAAGCTTCATCCAAGTTTACCAAGTCAAACTTATTGAAGATCAGAAGCTCTGGGTATAATTTAGTTTAGGTGTTATATTAAATGTTGCTGTTAGTACTCCTAACTTATCATACACACACACACATTTTATTGGTTTCTAATGTTATATATAATTATAAATATATTATATATATATAATATATATATATATATGATATATATATATATATATAATAGTCATCTTGGTTTGTTAAGTCTTATCCGACAAACAAAGTTTTAAAAAATAAAAATTCCAAAAAATTATGTATACATTATTTTGTTTTCTATGTGGATAAGTTGTTTTTGGTTAATTTCATAGATATGACAAATATATATTCATATACATACTCATATGTTTCATATTCTATTGTATCTTGTAAAAATATTGTATTCATTGATCTTATAGACTTCATAACAATAGTTTACATCTTCTATTAAGTCTGTAAAATCATTTTGTATTGTTTCAAAACATGGTTTAGTCAAAATATCAAAATTCATATGTTTACATTTCTATGTTTTGGACCTCCTTACAAAATGATAATATTTTACATTTGGGAAGTCCTTTTTGTAAACCAGTCTTTGTAGCATGTTTATTATCATGTCTATAATCATTCCCCAAAGTTTTACATTTTTCTGAATTTATTTGATATTTTTAAACAAGGTTTTAAAATCAGAAAATCAACTTTCAAACTGTTTTGTTCATGTATCAGTTTGCGGTCGACCGCCACGATCGACCGCACCTGAGATTTTACTTGTGGAGTCAAACAAAAACTTTCGCGGTCGACCGCCACGGTCGACCGTCAAGCTAAAAATTCCCACGGTCGACCGTCACTGTCGACAGCGTAAGTCTCTGGAAGTTTTCTGAGTTTCAAAACTGGCTCGCGGTCGACCGCGAGTTTTCCACGGTTGACCGCCGATAGCCCAATGGCTATTTTTGGTACAGAATTGTATTCCTGATTTTTTGGAATTTTTGTTGTTTTGTTTGGGGTTTTGGCTGTTGGTTTCTCTTCCTATATAAACCCCTCAACCCCTCTTCTATCAGCAACAAAGGAGAAAGTTTTAAACAAGTTTAAGAGGGTTTTACAGTTTGTTTTTTTTTGGGTTTGCTTTTACAAAGAGGAGCTTGCATTATCTGTTTAGGAGTTCATCTTCAATATCTTCTCATCCTCTTTTTGTGTTTATAGAGAAGTTTTCTAACTCTTTTCTCTAGCAATATTATTATTGATTTTCATATTCTTATTATTGCTAGTTTGCTATTTGAGTTTAGTTTTGATTTATATCTCATTGTTACACACACCCATATTGAGCTTATTGTATCTTTCATACATAGTATAGTTGGGTGGTGAGAGATTGTAACTTTGAGTTGTGCTTTCATTGTGTTCTCATCCATAGTAGAGAACAAACATTTATTGTATTGAGCCTAATTGTAAGGATACATTTTGTAATACACTTGTACACCGAGAGAAGTGTGTGACGAGAGTCGGGGATCGTCCCAAGAGGAGTGGCGTCGGTTCACGAACATAGGGAGAGGTTGTATCCGAGCACTTGAGGGAGACACGTCTAGTTCAACACTT